AACTAAGTTGTTGGCCCCTGTTTACAATCACACCGGCTCCCGCCTAATATTCGCTGACAACTCATTCCAATATCGCGCTCTCGCGCAGGACTTCCTCATACCTTACGCAGGAATCGCTCTCTCGCGTGGGACTTCCTCGCAATTTATTCAACGCCGCGCCCTCGACGCTCAGGAATCGCGCTCTCGCTCTGGCTTTTCTCAAGGTTCACACTCGGGAGTCGCGCTATCGCTCGGGACTTCTCCGCGATTCATTGAAACTCACGCTTCGACAACCCGCCTGCTCGACCTGGCCGCCTGGGCCCGCCTTCCCGCCCCTCCCGTTACTGTAGGGTCTGCCCGCTTGATCAGTCCGTCTGGTTCTGCCACGTGTTTGCTGGTCCTGGCCCCCGGCGTCCTGCTAACCTCTCTCGTGCTCCATCCTTCTCCCTCCCCCATCCGTCCTCCCTTCCCCTGTTTTAGGGGCTGCGCGAAACGTACGCGGCAGGTAAGGCAGATATCCGCCGATCCAGCGTGCGAGTTTAAGAAGTCTAAGCTGAAGCTTTGCTTCAGCATGAGCTTTAGCTCTGCTTGGGAGGGGGGCAGGGGGGGGGACCTCATTAACTGTCGAATTCAGTGTTCGGCACCTCCCCCCCCCTTACCAGCCCCCCCCCCCCTCGATTTCCCCCCCCCCCCCCCCGGAGTTTTGCTCTGCAAGGGTGAGGGCAGGAGAGGGGGGAGGGGGGCGCTCTGCAAGGGGGGGGGCTGCAAAGGGGGGGGGGGGCCCTCTCAGGCGGGAGCGGGAGCTGCAGGGAAAGGCGGGAGGGTCCGCTTTGCAGATGGGCGCTCTGCAAGGGGAGGGGGGGGGGGAGAGAGGGGGGGGGGGACAGGAGAGAGGGGGGGGGGGGGGACAGAGAGAGGGGGGTGGGGGGGGGACAGGAGAAAGGGGGGGGGGGCGGGGAGGGGCCGGATCATCACCATCTCCATCACCATCACCATCGTCACATGACCATCATCACCATCATCATCATCATCATCATCATCATCATCATCATCATCATCGTCGTCGTCATCATCATCATCATCATCACCACCGTCATCATCATCATCATCATCATCATCATCATCATCATCATCATCATCATCATCATCATCATCATCATCATCATCATCATCCAGAGCGCCCCGGATCGGCGGCACTGGCCGGAGGCCACTACAATAGACCCCCACAGGGGGCGTGATCAAAGACCAGGAGGGCGGGTACCGAGCGTTGAATGGCACGCGGGCGTACAAGAGCGAAGAGTTTCAAAATGATTGAAGTCATATTTCTAAAAGAACATTTTGGTTGATCCCCCCCGGGCAACCATCACATGGCTTGAATTAGTGTGCTTCTGCCAGGGCTCGCACTCGACTCTTGTACAAGGGAACATGAAAGGGTCACCAAACTGCACTGTTGGCCCCCGAAATCGCGCTCTCGCGCGGGAGATACTCACAATTCATACAGGAATCGCGTTCGCGCGTGTGGCTTCCTTGCCATTTATTCAGGCGCCGCGCCCTCGACACTCAGGAATCACACTCTCGCTGTGGATCGCCTGGCGATTTATTTTGGAATCGCGCTATCGCTAAAGACTTCCTCGCGATTCATGCAAGACGCACGCTTCAGCAACCCGCCTGCTCGACCTGGCCGCCTTGGCCGGCTTTCCCGACTCGCCCGCTGGGGTCTGCCCGCCCGATCTGCCCGTCTGGTTATACCACGTGTTTTCTGGTCCTAGCCCCGTTCCTCCGAACTTCTCTCGTGCTCCATCCTTCCCTCCCCCTTCCATCCGTCCTCTCTTCCGCTATGTGAAGGGGCTGCGCTAAATGCATGTGGCAAGTCAGGAAGATATACCCACATGTGGGTACGACCGAAGACGAAGAGGGCGGATACCGAGCGTCTGGCATATACGTGTTGAATCGCATGCATGCAGGAAGGAGCGAACAGTCTTGACATTAACAACGTGAGGGGGCCGAACGGTCATTCATTGTCCCTGGGTGCGTGGCTGAAGTGGGATCCGTGGTGAAGATTATGCCTATTGCGTTATTGTTGATTGATTGTATGTATGTATGTATGTATGTATGTATGTATGTATGTATGTTTGTTTGTTTGTTTGTTTGTTTGTTGTCGTCGTCCCCCCTGCGACCCGCCCGCGACCCACCCGCGACCCACCCCGCGACCCACCCGCGACCCAGCCCGCGACCAGCACGAGACCAACCCGCGACCCACCCGCGCCCCGTGACCGGCCCGCGACCCACCCGCGACCCACCCCGCGACCCACCCCGCGACCCACCCTGCGACCCAACCCGCGACCCACCCGCGACCCACCCGCGACCCACCCACGACCCATACGCGAACCACCCGCGACCCTCCCGCGACGCGGCTCGCGACCCACCCGCGACCCACCCCGCGATCCACCCCCGACCCCCTGCGACCCACCCGCGACCCACCCGCGACCCACCCACGACCCATACGCGAACCACCCGCGACCCTCCCGCGACGCGGCTCGCGACCCACCCGCGACCCACCCCGCGATCCACCCACATTGCTTCAACAAAAAGATCGGCGCCTGCGGCGGGCTCACTACATAATTTGTAAAAGTTAGGCGCCTGCGGCGGGCTTCTTCAGAGCCTCGCAGACTGACGACGTCCTCGCCGCTCCCCTCACTTCTATCCGCAACTGCGGGGTGCTACGTTATTGTTATTTTTGTTGCTGTTGTTCTAAGCGGGGGGGCAACAACATCATCTGAAGCGCAAGACTTTCGTGCGCAAAAATACAGGGTGCGAGCCTCTGGTGCGACACTCCAATTGCAAAAACATAATGTGCACCCGAGGGAGGGAATCAACCACAATGGTCCTTCAGAAGTTAGAACTCAATCATCGTGAAACTGTTCGCTCTTATATGCTCGCGTACCGTTCAACATGTATATCCCAACCCGCGGTGCCCGCCCCCTTCGTCTTCGATCGTACCCCCCTTGGGGGGCATATCTTCCTTACCTGCCACCTGTAGTTGGCGCAGCCCTTAAAACATGGGACGGGGGAAGGAGGGAAGGGACAAGGGGGAGGGAGAAGGAAGGAGTACGAGATAGATCAGCAGGAGGGGCTTACGAGCAGGAGAACAAGCGGCAGAACCAGGCGGGCGGGTCGGGCGGGCGGACCCGAACGGCATCCTGACGGGCGGGTCGGGAGGGCTGGCCCAGACGGCGGTGTCGAGCGGGCGGGTCGCTGAAGCGTGAGTCCTGTATAAATCTCATGGACGTCTCGATCGATAGCGCAATCCACAAATCAAAACGCGAGTGGGACCAGAGCGACACCGTGATTCCTGACCGTGATTCCTGAGTGTCGTGGGCGCGGCGCATGAATAAATTGCGAGGGAATCCCAACGAGAGCTCAATTCTGGAGCCCCGAGAGGGGCACTTCATTTGAACAAAGCACAATGGACACCGCAAATAGGGGATCAACAATAATTATTCTTTTGAGTGTAAGATTTCAACGAGAATGCGCCCAGCGATGTCACACTTCAGCCGCTCGGCACGCTCACTCTGATGTGCGCCTATCTGCATCTTCTGGAACGTCCCAGCAGGCTCCTTGGAGGAACATGTATCCCGGCCCGCGCTCAGCCGAGGCGCGACCGCCGAGGCCGCCGCGGGGCCGCCGCCGTCGCACCCTCGATCTCACCCCCGCTACAGTAGCCGTGTCATCCGGACCTTCGCCGCGTGCGCCTGCATCCAAGACCACGGGTCGCCGCGCGGCCTTGTCGCTCCCCACGGGAGCTTCGACAGTTCCCTTGTCGCGATCGCGTCCTGGATGCGATGCTCCTTGTGGAGGTTGTGGCCATTCTACTCCACGCGGACCTCGGCGGTAGCGCGGCTTGCGAAGCCGAGCAGGTCCAACTCCTGGCAGAGCAGCAGGAAGACCAGGGACGTCTGGAAGCCAGTTGAGAGATGGAAGCCTTCACGCGATTTGACGTAGGCGGCGAAGCTGACGTTGTGGCGGGCGCAGGCGACCATGGAGCGGTCGCAGCCTCAGCCCGTACGCGCCATCTCCTGCGGGTCGCAAGAGTTGTCGCCCTTCTGCACGATGGCTGCGGTCTTGGAGTTGCCCATTTCCCAGCAACTGGTCCTGATCGGCGTGTTGCTCCCGTCCTTTTTGTTCGAGTATTTCCCCGTCCTACTGACTGGAGCTCGGGTGATTCACGAAGAGTTCGTCGGTCTTGGTGCCGTAGTGGCTCGCCACCGAATCTGGAGGCATGCGGTTGACGCACATGGCCGCGTTGTAGGCGTCGATCTGTTTCCGGGCGCCAGAGCCCACCATGATATTCGAACAGCCAACCAAAGCGGACCTGGTGAGATTGAGGCGCTCGAGGCAAGTGCCGCGCTCGATCCACAGCATCGGCCCCAGCAAGGACACAGCCTCGGTGCGTTGGTGGGCAAGGCAGCCTGAACGATATACTCAGCGTCCTCAGGTACCTAGTGCTGCCCATGCCACGACGAGCGTGCACGACGATGACAGAGACCATGGCCAAGACGACGAGCTCGCACGCGTCGCGACGGTTGTGATCCTTTGCTTCCGCAGCCTCGCCCTCAGCGCGCCCGCCAAGCGATCTGGGGCCGACCCATCTGCGGCAAGAAGCCTCGTGGCATCCTGCAAGGCCCTGACCGCTCTGCCAATGGCCGCTCCTGGTAGGCGCCGACATGGATCGCACCGAACCTATTTGAGCCAAACTGGTGATACGGGTCAGCAGGTGAAAACGAAAGGACGTCGAGTCTGATTCGGTTGAGGGTGGACGAGGGGAAGTAATACAGATATACAAACATACATGCATATCTATATGCCAGCAGGTGGGATGAGATGAAATGCCCCTAGCCGGGGGTGTGTGTGTGTGACACATTGGCTAATACAGCGAAGATGTTGATGGCATGCCCATGCACAGACCAACCACTCACTCAAGAGCGAGAGTCGCAGGGAGCATTTGCTTATTCATTGAGATCCTTTCTGACAGCTGCAGGGTCCTCATCCCCGAAATCTGCGAAGAACTCTTTGGACAAACGTGACACGTCCTTCAGCAAAGGCTCGTAGCTCGCGTCTGCAGCTGCAGCTTCGCACAGATCGCTCACGACGTGGGCCGACGTAGATATGTGATCCCATCGAAGCTGGCCCTTGTGCACTGTGCATCGGCAAGAGCAGAGGCCTCTCGGTAGCTGATCCATCTCTTCAGAAATGATCACCACGACTGCGCCTGCAGATATTGTTTTTTGGTGCGAGTAGTTCGTGAGCTCTAGAAGGAGGAGGATCAGGAGGGGGAAGCGGTGGACTGAGGGGAGGGAGGAAGGGAGGGGAGGGAAGGCGCAAGAAAAGGACAGCAGCCGTCAAATTCAGAAATGCCTCGGTACACCCCGAGCGCCCGGCAACCCTTGAACGCATCGTAAACAGATGACCTGCAGCCCTGGATTGCAACAGGGCGGCGAGCAGGGTTCGACAGCATAGGCCGCAAGATGAGAGAGAGAAGGACGAGGAGGAGGGACACGAGGAGGATGCTCCTCCTCCCTCCTCCGCTCCTCCTCCTCCTCCTCCTCCTCCTCCTCCTCCTCCTCCTACCCCTCCTCCTCCTCCTCCTCCTCCTCTTCCTCCTCCTCCTCCTCCTCCTCCTCCTCCACATGTCCGTCATCCATCTCCTCGTCTTCCTGATCCTCATCCTCGTGCTCCTGCTCCTCCTGCTCCTTCTTCTGCCCCTCCTCCTCCTGCTCCTCCTCCTCCTCCAGCACCTTTCTTCCTCGAGGAAGGCCGGCGCCGGAGGAGGAAAGAAGGAGACGGCCTCTTGCCAGCCGCTCCCCGCCCCCGCACCCGGCCCCCCTGCCCCCCCCGCCCCGCTCACCGGAGGCCCTCGACGCCGTGCCCTTTTCTCTGCGTGGGCGCGTCAGGAGGCCCAGACTGGAGGAAGGAGGAGGAGGAGTAGGAGGAGGAGGACTAGGAGGAGGAGGAGGAGGAGGAGAAGGAGGAGGAGGACATAAACTTTGGAAGCTCCGCGCGGATTTCTTGGATCTGCACTGGGCCCCCCCCCTCCCTGGCGCGCCGAGCGCGCCAGGAGCGGCGCTGGAGGCCAACGGACACCGGCTCTTCATCCCGGGTGCCTTTGATTTGACGGCCCTGGGCTTGGTGAGTAGAGGCCTCCTAGATGCGGTCGGAGCAGATGTGGTCGGAGGATCGGCGATGCACTGGCGATGCAGCGGCGACGTCGGCGTGGAGAAGATCGTGCTCCACATCGAGCCGCATCGGCGATGCATCGGCGATGCGGCGCGGTCATCCGACCCCATGCCTAGAGTGAGGGCCCGCAAGGCCGAAGCTGGCGAAACAAAGCCCATCGTGCCTTCATTTATGACGCGATCAGCTGGGAGAAGGTCCGAGCGGGTTTCTAGGGTCGGCGCTGGACCCCACCTCCCCTGGCGCGCGGAGCGCGCCAGGGGCGGCGTCAGAGGCACAGCCAGGGGGTCCAGCGACGAGCCAACACAATTCGTACGGACCCCAAACTGTTGATACTCAAGCCTCATGCTTTTCTATCTCCCTCTTTGAGAGGGGTTCCTGGGCCCCCTGCCCCTCATCTTGCCTACCCTCCTCCTCCTGCTCCTGCTCCTCTTCTCCCGCTCCTGGCTTTGGCGCGATGTCAGAGCGGGAGACCATGGTCCTCATTGAGCTCGCTAAGAAGGCGGGGAACACAGGGGCTCGTCAAGCAGTGCGAGATTGCCTTGGCAACTCTTCGCCCAAAGCCGTTTGAGCCGCCCAAGACTAGGGCGGATCGAGTTCAGCATGAGACTCAGAAGCTTGAGGAGACCCCGGGCGAGCAGCTGCAGCACTTGGACGCGTAGCGGGAGAAGGTGGCGGCCCAGCAGGCCAAGTGCGAGGCCACGCAGGTTTCCTCGGAGAGAGCAGATGGCACCTACAGGACGGCCATTGCCGAGCTGCCCGAGCAGGACATCGTCGGCGACGGTCTGCCTGAGGAGCAGAACAACTCGCCGTCCATCAGCGTGGCTGGCACCATGGACGACAAGGTGGTCCTCTCTACGGGAGAGGGCCTGTTCGGTTTGGCGGAGTATGAAGGCGTGGATGAAGCGGACGTGCAGGCGGCCAAGATCCGTGAGCAGCCGCTGTCCGATGGCATCAAGGAGTTGATGGCTTCCCTCTACGGCCAGCTGCGAGAGCGGGCAGACGCGCTCAAATCCGAGAACGAGCAGGTCAAAGCCAGAGTTGCTGGCAAAAAGAGGAAGACAGGGACTGGAGGGTGGTCGGATGAGCTGCAGGGCCTGAAGGAGAAGGAGGAGCTACACCGGCGACGGTCGAAGAGGCAGGTGGAGGAGCTGACACTCCGACGGCAGGAGGCGTTGCGGCTCAACATGCAGGACTCACGCTGGCGGGGGTTTACTTCTCGCGGTGATGGGCGAGAGCGTGCCCGGCAAGCCTTGGCCAAGAAGAAGCCTCTTGGACGCAGACGCGGTTGCAGGGGCAGATGCACGTCATGCACGCAACAGCCCACATCATCCAGTTTATCATTTTCGTGGCGGGCAGCCTTTTCCTCGAGAGATCGCTGGCAACTTCGCCGCTCTGCACCATCCAGATCATGCACTTCGCGGCGGGCAGTCTCCTTCGCGGGAGGCGGTCCGCCGCTTCCCCAGCCTGCGGCGTCCAGGTCATGCACTTCGTGGCGGGCAGCCTCATCCTCGAGAGGATGTCGGCCGCTGTGCTACTGCGCCATGTCTGAGTTCGGCATTGCCCTCGTGTTCTTCGGGCCGCCCTGCTCCTGAGAATGTGAGCCGCGCCGTGCGGAGCGAGTCTCTTTGGGTGACCCCGTGCGAGCTGCGGAGCGAGCCCCTCCGGGCGACCTCGCAGCGCAGCAGAGCCACGGGAGGGCCAGGTGCATCGCCGTCACCTTGCAGGACAACGTCGAGCAGTTGGGGGCAGCCTGCGATAAATTGCCCCATGGTTTCGACAGTGCCGGCGAGCCGTCTGCGATGACGATCTGGAAAGCGAGCACTACTTCGCGGAAGTCAGCGCTGACCTACGTGCAGTCTCGTGGGGCGACGCTAAAGCAGCAGTCGATGCAGGTGGTCGCCTTGCAGGAAGTGGGTGTGCCGCAAGATGCGCAATGACAACAAGAAACGCAGCTCCGGGATTGAGGATTTCTGGTAGCTACGGCTGCCAATAGGATCATCGAGCTAGGAGGGCTGTCTGGGGGAGTGGGCATCCGTGTTCCACCTCACATTGTTATCATTACTTCTCCGCAGCCTCTCCCGCGCGACCACTCATCAACCCACGCAGGGTCATTGTGCGCTGGATGGATACATGCTTGGTCCTAGGGAGTTCATCATGGCATATTTTTGTGTGTGTTTTTTAAGCGTGCCAACTATCCGGCGATAAGTGGTCAGATCTGTGTGGTGACGGTCTTGGCTGTGTGAGCAACTGCTCGTATATCGGGCATGCCCTCCTACGGGCGGATCTTGTATAAGAAAAATAGGAGTTAGTCAAAACATGCCCAATCATAATCATTAATAGGGGTTCATCATGGTTCCATCTGGTCACCTGAGGGGGAACCTTTTGGGAACGAGGGCGCTCTTGTGCTATCCCGTCTAGGCGAGGCTTTGCGCGCTTTAGGGCGGGCCTTCATCAGTGGAGGCGATAGGGGCGCCAGGCCGAGCGAGCTGGCGCAGCAAGGATGGGCTGGACAACCGACAAATCGCAGTGTCGCACCGTCTGGTATCTCTTGCAGGTCTGGGAAGGGCCGTACAGTCGGGGCGTTGACCTAAGCAACCCTAAATAAGGAACGAGGCTCCTATTTTCCATAAGTTGAACTTTCATTTCGCATCGGAAACCTAAGGAAAATCCAGGGCAAGCTGCGAAACAATTAAGGAACACGGAGCCCCTCCCCAACGAAAAGGGTTCCTTCTTCAGGGCCCCGACTGTATCCTGGATTATGCTGTGGTTCCTGACGTGCTGGTCCCCAGTGTTCGGAGTTGCTCGGTTTCTGTCAAATCGTCGTTGGCCCCCCATCGGCCGGTTGCGTTACGCGTGAGGGCTAAGTTGGATCCTGCTGAGATCCTGGTCTTCAAATGGTTCTGGTACGCAGGGCTCTCGAGGCTCAGGACTCCCAGGAGGATCATGATAAGGTGTACCAGGACTTCATGGGTCTCATGGAGGAGGACCTTATCGGGGCCCACGGGGTTCCACATGACGAGAAGGCCAGCTTCTGTGGAGGAGGGTCAGGCTAGTCTTCTCAGAAGTTGCCTGGATTGTCTGGGGGCAATGGGCCATACCCTGCTGCGTGCCCTAAGGCCTTGGGGTGGCGACGAGTGGCCAACTGGCTACCGGGGCTTGGGCACGTCCAAGGTAAGCCTGAGAAAATTCACCCCAAAGGTTAGCCGAGCCTGCTTGTCAAAGTCACGTTCGGCCCCAGGCAACTCCAGTGCACGCCAGCTTGGCTCGTCTTTCAGCGTCCTGCTGTCCACTGGTCAGGCATGTCGGCTGAGGGCCTTTGCGACTTCACTCGGCTTGCTGGGCAGCAAGCTGAATGATTTGAGGCGGCCTTCTCGCAAACAAGAGCTTCGCAGCGGAGGTTTTTCGTCAGTACAACATGAGGCAACGGCGAGGGGCAAGCTCACAGGTATACTAAATGCCCAGTAGGACGGAGACCCATTCATGTGCGTCGAGAAGATGCCCTACCAGGCACAGTTGAGCTTCTTGAAGGCTGTCTTCACGGCTGGGAAGAGTTTGGGGAACAAAAGGTGGTTCCTGATGCTGGATCCGGAGGCTTGTATGAGGGAGCGTTCGGAGGATCTGGAGACCCAAGAATGTCCCAAGGTGTGCTTCGAGCCACAGGAGATCCGGGATGCGAGTCTGAAGTTCAAGGCCTGGGCCGCTCAGGATTCGGTCGTCTGGGGCCCAGGGACTTCGTTGTGGTCTCGGATCAGTATCTGAAAGGCTTGAGTCTCCTCTGGGGTTGGATCTTGCACAGCGGTCTCCTCCCTGCTCAGATTGCGCTCACCATGATGCCGTCCTTGCAAAAGCCAGAGGGCGACGCCGAGCTCATAGGCCTCAGCAGCATGATTGCGCGCGTGTTTGGAAAACATTCTCGAGCAGTTGCAGCGAGTTGGGATGCTACATCTGGTCGGCAGTATCTGTATGGAGCCAAGGGGCGGTCATGCGAGAGGGCCGTCTGGAAGCAAGCCTTTGCGACTGAGCACGTGGTTTCCA